ATTAAATATCTAAGAAATTTTTACTTTCCAATTTCACATTAGGCATTTTTTGGGGGGTCCAAAGATAGCAAGTTCCTTAACACGAAGATGTAATATAATAAACCTAATAAACTATGTTTTGCTGCTGGGCATGTGCCCAGATTGAAATGAAGTCCTTCTGGGATCTCAAATTACTTGATTTCCCCTAAATAGATATTTATATGAACTGAGGAAAAAAGAAGAATCTTGTGAAATAAAGGTTTCTTCCCTAACAGGTCAAGGTTACAGGTCATTGTGTCATTTCTGCATCCCCAACACTCCCTAGTGCACTTTACTTAAATGCAGTAGGTACACAGTATCTATATAAACAAGAGATTAAATTAGTTTTGACCTGTAAAGGAGTTTAGTCTGTTAGTGCCATTTTACAGAGAATGAAATCGAGGCCACAACATTTCAACATGCTACAACTATATATCCGATTTTTGTATACAGCTAGGATTATAACCTACAATTCTTAATTCCAGTGGAGAACTCTTTCTTCATGTAAGAAAAGTAAGTAGCATTTATCGAGCATTTACTATGAACAAAGTGCTTTGTGTACATGATGTCACATCTTTAGGAATAAACCTCCAAACGATATACTATCCCCATATTTTAGATGAGGAGACTGAGGTTCAAAGAATTTAAGTGACTTACACAAGGCAATGTGCTGGTTAGCAGGACAGCTAAGATTCAAACTCAAATCTGTTTGCTTTCAAATCCACTGCCTTCCTAATCACACCACATTAGCATTCATATAGCAGCATTAAGTACTTGATCAGAGAAGAAACTATGTGGGCTTCCTAGAGAAAGCTAAAATCTTTTATCATTTTGCTTTGTAAAATGTCAGCTCCCCCCCAAAAAATAAACCATATCAAAATGTATAGCCAAGTCAAGCATTCATAGCCAACCTGTCTATAATATCAGATTTGTCATTAAATTAGAAAAGAAATGTATTCCTAAAGAACAACTGAGCTGAAAGCTGAATGATCGCAGGTTACCTCCTGCTCACTGAATCACCAGGTGCAGATTCCATGTCTCACTGAAGATGAAGAGGTGGGTGGATGAGAGAACAACCAAATCACTACTTAAGGTAAAGGGTGCAATGTGACAGGCACATGTTAATGTCCTCGCTTTTCTACAAGCAGACGGAGCTTCCAGCTAAGAGTATGTCCTCCTCCACCATCATCAGAAATTAACTCAAGATAGGATCATCTAAAATTCAGCTTCCAAAAGGTCTGAGTTTTTCTGTTCTACTTTAAAGCCCATTGGACAAGCCCTTCTGTACAGTTTGGGAGTAGGACCACTCTGGGTGACAGTCTCTGCTCTGTCACTGACCTCCTGTGTCTATTTGGCAAGTCGTTTAGCCTTTTGGAACCTCAGTTTCCTCCTGTACATAATGACAATAATAGCACCTACTCTTGACATTTCTGTGAAAAATAAAATGAGATGATGAATGTAAGGCATCTACCCCAAAAGTTGGCCCAGTTTGGGACTCAATTTATTCACTACCGTTGGATGGTAAATGTCAAATCCCAGAACAACTAGAAGCAAAGAGGTACACAGAAATCAAGCAGTCCATCACGTGCTATGATAAATGTAATACTAAAGATCTCATCATGGCAAAACAGAAGTCAAGTAAAACCCTCTGTTAACAAATCTGGTAATACAGTTGCCAGTGAGAAAGGGGCAGAGTGGTGAACTGAAACATTAAACATAACTTTGGCATACAAATATAAAAAAGAGTTACTAACACTTGTCACCTACTTACTACTTACAAAGGAATTTATAAAGATTAATGCTGTAGCACTTTAAAATCCCTTGGAAATAAAGAATAAACACATACACCATTATGCATACATATAAAGGCAAATATATATTTTAACACTCTAAGGATTACTATATAAATTTAGATCAGGGCACAGCATGCCTGGGATGAGTAGGGTGGGAACAATATGTTCTTGCTTACGACACCAAGCTCATGACAAATGATTCATACCCAGCACCTTTTATGCCAGAAGATCCCCCCAGGTGTTCCACCAACTCTAGCAACAGTTTCCATCAATCGAGACTTCAGTACAGAGGAATCACATCACACCCACAGACGAGGCAAAACAGACATGTCTTTATACAACTGCTTAAGTCCAACAGCTGAGGGGGCAGGAAAGAGAAGGGAAGGAGGTGAGTGAACCATCCAGAATTCCTCACCAGATTGACAGGCAGCCTATAATTACCATGCATTTGCACCTTGAATGCAGGTGTTGTCATAATCAGAGATTCTTCTCAGCAAAGGCTTTTTGCTAAACATGAGAGGGGCTCACAGGATGTGCATTGCCTGTGGCCCTGAAGGGGTTTTGGAGCAGATTTATAGGGGAGGACATCTAAACGTGAAAAGAGACGAGTCCCCCCAAACCGCCCCCCTCTACCCCAACCTGGCCTGCAGGTTTAGATGAGCGGATTTTCCACTCTGGGGTAAAGTGAACTGTTGTGAGAGTTCCAAACACGTGTGTGAGGCTTTCAAGTCACACTGTCCTCTTATGTATAGCTGGGCTCCTAATTCTCTGCAGTTAATCTGACAGGCATTGCCCCCACTTTACAGATGAGAAAATCCACATTCAGAGGACACTAAACTTGCTTGGATCAAACCACAAATAAGCAGAACTGGAATCAGGTCTCCACTCTGCTTTGCATTCTACAAAACTGCCATAAAAAGTTTCTTTCTGTTTTCTTTTCCTTTAAAAATATTTTAAACTGTCTCTGAGTCTGGTCCAGATACGTAGGACTGGCTTTGTTTTAGATGACATGGATAAAGACTATTTCTCTTTCTCCACTATCTGTATGTATATACTTAAAAAAGAAAAAGTAAAAACACCTTTGTGTGTGATGACCAGGGCACAGACTGAGTCAGGAGAGGTCTTTATGGACTAAGAGATTTCAGAGGGCAGATATCTCACCTCATTAGTTAACAAGATTTGAGTGATCAAAACTTTTAACAGTCATTTCCTTATTTCCTACATTATCTTAGACCTGCAGGCATGTTCGATGCCCTGACCCTAATAAGCCCTACTAGAATTTTAAGTACCATTTATTATTATTATTTTTAATACTGGCAGTGCTTGGCACCATTTCCTAAATGGAAGTTAAAAAATTTGCCAAAGATGTATTCTACTTTACTTTCTTTCCAAGATCTTTCAAGAGATGAGCTAAAAAAAGAGGTTTAATGGGTGAGTGATATTTTACAGCTTGAATTACATTAAAAGCCAGAAATATTTTGAGTCCAAAGTCTTTTACTTCTTAATACAACAAGAGCTAACATGTTTGATGTGTTTAAAATCTCCCCTGAAAGCCAGAAGCTTTGAGTTAATCACTTAAAGCAGTGTGAAAGTTATTCAATCAGTTTAAGAAGATTCAAGTTCAAATTAGAGGATTAATTTTAGTGGCTACGATATCAGAGATATAACAGTTAAGGTAAGGAATGAGGGCAAGGGTCTCCAGAACTTGAATGGAAAGAATTTCAGCTTCATTCATTTGATCAAACCACTCCTGAGAACTATACTAAACCATAGCCTCTGTCATGAAACATGAATTGTAGGGAAAACCCTGCTACTACTCTCGGAACAGAGACATCAATACAAAATATCATCTATCATGATTTGCCTTAATACAATTTATATCTATGGACCCAAGGAATTCATAATGACAGACTGGTATTTTAAAATGTTCACAACTCACATTAAAAAGCTGACAATGAGCACAACTCACTAAAGTGGCACTTCTCTGGGAAGGTTTCTGGCAATTACATCACAACCGAAAATGTTTCTAAAGGTACCAGGCTGCACAGATTGTGCATATTACAAACACTATAATCTCAATTACCAGGTTGAAGCTGTATAAGTTGGAATTTTCCCCCCATTTTACCCATGCTTGGTTTTTGTTCTTTGCTGCTGCCTGGAGAAGTTTCCACACTTTAAAATCATTTTTAGTTATTGCAATCAAAGCTAGTTCTTTACTATTTCAACTCATTGAAGTTTCTAGGTTCAATTTCAACAGGAGTAGCTCCGTCGGATTGCAGACATGCAAGCTTTTCTGAAAATCTAAAACCTTTCCTGATATGACCAGAGCTCATGGACTTGCATCCTAAGTCCCTGGAATCCAGCCTCCTGGAATTCAGCAATCCCTTTCCTGCCTTCATAAAGGGAATGTTAAGTCTTTATTTGTGCTCTTCATTAGAGGAGGTCAGGCAATGGGGGAGAACAGGGAGTTGTTGTCACTGGGATATATCTGATCTTCCTGAGACTGACCACGCCGGAGAACAACCGCTCATTCACGGGCTGGAAAGCCCCAGTTCTCAAAACACACTCACTAGTGCTGTGAGAAGATGCTGGAGAGTTCCTGCCCTGAAACTTGCATCCACTTGGTGCCCTAAAGCAGAGGAGCCACTAAAGAACACCTTATTCTCTCCACTGCAGTTCTCCTCCCTTGTGGGGAAGAAGGGGTTAGGAGCTCTGCATGAAATTAAAAATAAAATAAAATAAAACGCCTATATATATATATGGGTCTTCTTAATCTTCCTTGAGCCAATACATAAGTCTGGCAAGTAAAGGGAAAGTCATCTGAGGAAATGTCAGCCTGCCTGGAAATTTAACCCTTTCATTTCTGTATTAGGAGTACTTTAAACCCCTCTGTTTGCCTGGTCTTCGGTTCCACACACCAATGCGACCAAGGCAACAGGAAACAGGAATTTGACTCCACGGTTTGGAGCTGTGGCATTTGGAGAGGACCCTGATGATGTTGGTGGGTAAGAGAGGTGGAGGCTGGTCTCCTAGTAGGTGATGTTAACTCTTGAGGGAAGTAGGCAGGGACCAGTTTGCAGCATCTCCAAGTCCAGAAACCCTATTTCCTCCAGTTCTCCATCAGATCACACAGCGGACTTTAACCCTTTCCATCTTTCCACCCCTTTGCCCTCAGTCGCATCTACTCACGCTGCTGTTGTGGCCAGACCAGTGGACCATGGCTTGGTTGTGTGCTGAGTCTCCGGTCAGCGCAAACGTGGTGCTGGTCAGTCTCAGCTCCTCCATCCGGAATCGGGTGGCTTTGTCCGGGTCCCGCTCCCGAGTTCCAGGCTCCTGCTGCCCTCCATCTCTCAGCACTCCCCGGGGGCTCCGACTCGCGCCCCCTCCCCGTTCTGCCTTCTCCTGATCCGCTCCGCTCCGTCTCCTCCGGCCGGAGCGTGCGGCAGCCGCCACGGATGCCCCAGTGCCCCGAGCCCGCTCCAGGGACAGCGCTCGGTCCCCGGGGGCCACTGAGAACAGGGGGCGCACTACGAGGGGCAGGGGCGTGGCAGGAGCCCTGCCTGGCGGCCCCTGGTGAAAAAAGCCCGTAGGGGTCGAAGCCGAGCGTGGGGCCGAGCTGGGGTGCGGCGGGGGGCAGCAGGAGCCGCCGCCGCAAACGCCCGGGGCGCAGAGGACCAAGAGCCCCGCGCCGGCGAGGAGTGCGCTCAGCCGGGCTGGGGAGCCGCCGCCGGAGCCAACTTTTCCCATCGCGGGAGCGGAGAGCAGCGGAGAGAGGGGTCCCAGACCGAAGCTGGCGGCGCGGGGCTCTGCGCTGGCGGCTGTGGGGGGCCGGCGCTCAGGACCCCAACTCCATCCAAGTTGGGCCGCGGTGGAGGCGGGCGGAGGCGGCGCCGGGCAGGTGGCCGCCGCTCGCCCGGGCTGGGCTTGTGCGGAGCGCGGGTCCGGACGGAGCGAGCAGCCGCCGCGCGGGGGTGGAGCTGAGCTGAAGTCACTGGCGGAGCGGGCGCTGGCGGGCGGCGCGGGAGGGAGGGCGGGCGCTGCCGGGGCTCCGGGCGCCGGGTCCCGCGGCAGAGCCTCGCTGCGCACCGGGGCTCCGGGCGCTGGAGGCGCCACCGGCGACCTCCCCTGGGCCTCGCGGGCGCTGCCGCCGCCTCTCCCTTCCGCCCTCTCTGCGCCCCCGCGGCCGCCGGTCCCGGCGCTGAGTCCGCGCACCCTGCTCGCGGGGGCGGTGAAACCCGGGCTCCCGGAGCGGTCGCTCTGTCCGGAGCTTCCAATTCCTGCTTTACTGTTTCTATCAGTCTATGTTGCTGTTTCCTTTTTTCTCTTTCTGGTCCTTTCCAGTTGAGGAGATAGGGATGGGTGGGCTTCTGCTCCTTCCTTCTCTTACGCTTCCTGAGTTGGCATCTTGACCTTACCCGGAGCAGAGCTGTGTGTCCCAGCCTGGGGGAGATCCCGGAAAGGCAGCAGCAGAGAGTGATGTAATTAAATGGTCTCTCGTGTGTGTGTGTGTGTGTGTGTGTGTGTGTGTGTGTGTGTGTGCGTGCGCGCGCGCGCCTGTGTGTGTGTGCGTGTGTGGGGGATTTTTTCCCCCCATCAATTAAAAGGCTTAGATTTCTCTCCTAACCTTCTAAAGCATTCACTGAATTTGAACCTAATTTTCCTGCATGCAGTCATAGGTAAGAAAACACTTTCCTAAAACTAAGGTTCCACTACGCGTTCTGTAAGCGGACATATCTTGGTTTCCCTAAGAGACTACAAACTCATTGAGGACAGGAAGATCAAATTTCGATCAACTTGGAGGAAGTGACCTGTTTTTTGTTTACCATTTTATCCTCAGTACTTGGCAAAGTACCCTACGTGGGAAGAAATCTGCCATTCATTAATTCAATAAATATTTATTGTGAGTCTAATACATATTTGCATAACAAATAAATACAGGAAAAGAGGCACAGTACTTAGAGTTATTCTGTGTTATTCGTGGCATGGCCCAGTGCTGCTGTATCCTGCTTTGAGATCCCTATCAGCAAGTCTGTGATGGTGCTCTGCCGCTGGTTTGCTTTGGGACCTCAGACAAATCGCAGTCTCTCAGCTTCCTAAGCGTTAAAATTAAATGGTCACATTAGATGACCTTTAAAATCCCTTCCGCTCCTAAGATTCTATAATTGTATGATTATAATATCTGCCTGGCCTAGCACCCCTGCTACCGTTCGTAAGATCAGATGAAGATTTATAGCAGGTGAATGGGCTTTGAAAATTGCGAAGAACTTCTCAAAATCCAATTCTTTTTTTCAAGTAGACAATTTGCTTCTAAGCGTTGAAATGGTTTCAGATTTCTTTGCAGTCTTCATATACGTAATATTCTCTTATGTATATAGTTTTTACATTGTTTAATGAATATATACTGATTGAATAAATGAATGACACAACAAAATAGTACCGATTCCAGTCTCTAATTACAGTTCCGTTCATTTTCACACTTAGAATGATAACCTCACTGAAAAATGTGAATACTGTGTTTGTGATGAGGCCAAGTTCAAAGTAATATAGAGTGATAATTATTCTTTAATTAGTGAAATTCTTTCTAATGTTGCCCAGGAAAACTTTCTTGGTATCAATCCAATGCGGAGACGTGTTATAAAATATCGATCTAAGTTATTGTTCTTATGACCAACGCAGGAAAAGTGCAAATGCAAGAGGGCAGGCTTCTCAGCCATTAAATTTGAGTACCTGAAAGGACGAAAGAGCGTCCCGGTTGTCATTAAAGAAGAAATAGAAGCAAAATCACCTTTATGCCTGGATCCTCCAAAACAGAAATGCTGTCTGGCAGGCGATGGCCTCTAGATGGAGGAGAGGAGAGCCAGAGGTCCTTTCTTCTCCCCAAATTGCAAATGTTCTTTGTCAAAACCCAGAGCGGTCGTTTTTTCTTTCCTCAGAAAGGTTTTTAGAGCTTTACAGGATCATTTGCTTAATGACTTCTTTCTATGCCCTGCTAACCTCCTTTCCAGTCTGGATAAGTACATGGGAATTCCTCCAAGAAAGGAAAACCGGATTAAAGAATCAGAACCCAAATAAATTCTCATCCAAATATAGGCCGGAAGAAGCAAAATGGAAAAGAAGAAATTAGTGGATTCAGATTTCCTGTCCTTAGTCTATTATCGCACTACCAAAATGTATGGTATTTTGGTTTCGAAATGGAAGCTCTTCCTGAAGAATACTGGTACAAGTACAGTTGATTTTTTCCTTCCCAGAATCTACAACCTCTTTCTGAATGATCCCTTTAAAGTGAAAGCACTTGCAGTCCATTTGCTGGGAGTTCATAGAGGGCGGGCAAGTTTTTACTGCCTGATTGTAATTATTCGTTTGAGACAGAAGTTACACAAATGCGGATGAAATTGGCTCCAAGTAGTGTTGTTCATACATAGGTAGATAGATTAATTTTGTTTTTTTATGGCTCTGCCCCCTATTTACTTTTGCCAACAAGCAGAAGAAGAAAGTACCAGTAATTTCCTAAATTATTCCCCTTTTCCAGAAGACTACAATAAATATGCTAATCATGGAGGGACGTCTATTTCAAGATGTTTCAAGCCAACAACCCACAAAGCAATCCAATAGATTTTTATTAATACAATATAATAAGAATGAGTCATTTATTAAGAAAGTAATTGATACGAAAGGCTAGTAGATAACATAAATCTGTAGTTTCAATAAGGAGTCCTCTCATTGTGCACGTGACAAATATGCCACAACTTAGTCCCAGTTATCATCATTTCTCATCTGGACTACCACAACAGCCTCTGACTGCTCCCTGTACGCCACAATTGCATGATTCCATTCCTTCTCTCCAACAGTTATCTCTAAAGATGGCACAGGTACAAGGGCACAAGCAGACTGAGGTGATCCAATTTTGTGCAAGAGGAATATAATAGAATTTGATATGCTTAGTTTTAATCAGAAATATTAAAATTTAGGCTTGCTAAAATATTTATTAATGTACATATGTTACATATGGTTTTATATACAATATAAGCATGTATGTTTATGCATATACATATATACAGTATATACATATACATATATACATTGATATGTGTAAAGAGAGAGACGGAGGCAGACAGAGAAAGAAACAGAGACAGAAAGACAAAGAAAGAATATGAACATTTAGTCACTGTATACTGATTGGTGTGCACAACCAAAAAAGTATGGACACTCTGCCCTACAAAGCAGCAAATGTAGTCTTTTAAAAGTATAAAAAATATACTTCCTGCCAGCTCCCATCACAAACAGAGTAATATCCAAGCTTACCATGGCTGACCAGGTACTCACTTCTGAATCACACTTGGCAGGATTCTCTACCCTCATCCTAATATGCCAACCATCGGTGCTCTCCTGTCCTCGGATGTGCCTAGTTTTTTCCAATTCACAACCTTTGCACGTGCTGTTCCGCCTCCCTAGAATGTCCGCCCCCATCCCCACATCACATCGCTGACTCCTCTTCTTTGAGACCTTCACTTTCGATATACAACCTTAGAAAGACTTTTCCTGAACCTCTACCTAAAGAAGAAATTTATTCCACATTTTCTTTGTCAGTCTCTTACCAGATCTTTTTTAGTGTATATTACAGCATTTAGTTATTTTACTTAAACTTGTTTTTTGGTAATAACTTCCAAAAAACTCTGCATGTGGATAAAAGCTGTATCTTCCTTATTTTCAACCTCCTTTTCAACATTTCTCCCAGTGCCTACCTTATTAAGTGATCAATAAACAATGGCTGGCCAGCTGGGTGGCACCCATATAACAAGCCTAGGTGCACAACTCTTAATAATTATTAGTAATTAAGAGTTAAATATTTGTCAATCAGATATATATTCTATGCCAGAAACTGCTACAGAGTTGAAATGTAACAGCTCATGCCTTTTTTTTTTTTTTTCTTTTTTTACCACGAAGTTTACCTCAGATAAGTACTATCATCTTTCCTACCTCACAGATGATACTAAGTAACTATCTAGGGTCATACAGCAATTAGTGCAAAGAGACAAGGGTCTATGAGGCAGTCTTATTCCTAGTATGTTCTTGATTTTGTGAAATACTGATTCTACTCTAAATCCAACTGATAACAGACAACGCTTATTGACAATTTTCTATGTGCCAGACACTCTAATTAGTTTGAATCATTTTTATTAATGTTGAGCAAGCAATTTGGGGAAAAGTGCTCACTTTTTCTTTTTTCTTTTCTTTTCTTTTTTTTTTTAGGCTGAGGGGAATATATGTACACTCCATTTCTATTTGCTTTTACTTTGTGCGTGGGGTGTAATGTTAAAGAGAGTAGTATATCCACTCCCCACATAATCTTACAGCATAAGCTACAGGTTAACTGTCTCATTGGTTTTTTTGTCTTCCCTTCTTCCTAAGTCTCTTTGATTTCTGATGGTTACTTTGGCTTCAGTTTGCACTAAATCACATTATACGCCTTATCATTTGAACGATGTCTTTTAATAGTTCTCAAAATACTTGGCTCCTCTTGGATACCATTGAGACAAGGTGTCTTGTTTTGCATTTCAGATCAATTTCATGAAGAACCACAGAAAGAAAACTGGGGAGAATAATATGCAGGCTATTCTCATTGCCTGCCAATAGAATGATGGGACTTTTTTAAACCGCCCCTTTAAATGCTTTCAGGTATCAACCAATACAGACCTATCTCTGAATCCAGTAATTGTATCTCTTCTCATACACCCAATCTAAGTGGTGCCAGTAGGAGAACATAAGCCCTCTTATCTTTATAAATAGGGCTAGGATTATCTACCTAACTCATAGGATGTTATGAAAGTTAATTCAACTTTGGACACCCCTTGGAAATAACAAAACTGTCTTGGATTTGTGTAACTTCTATCTCATCACACCTCTAAACAGTTTTTTGTTTTGCTCTTCCCCCGCTAGTTTAATAAATCTTGCAGCAGCTCCAAAAGATAGGTAGGGGGCAGTTTTTGC